AATTGATTAATTTATTTTTTTTATTTTTAAATTATACTTTTAACTATAAACTATTTTATCTCTTAAACAGAAAAACCTTTTCATTTTTAAAGCTATGATTTTATTGAAAACTGTCAATATATTAATAACTATTTAATCAACTCTATGGAAATATCTTTTATAATTTTAAAACTCTATTTAAAATATAAAATAAATTTATTATATATATAAAAACAATTTTAAATTGTTCAATTTATTTCGGTAAATATCAAAGAAAAAGAAAAAAAAAAAATCACAACGACAAAAAATATTATAGGGTGTTTTATTAACTATAAAATAAAATTTAAAATGTAGACTGTAAATGGTGAGTGTATGTTTTATTTGTTTGTTTTTTTATCTGTTTCAATTTTGTTTTGTGGGTTTTGTGTGTGATATTTTTGATATTATTTTTTATTTGATAATGGGTGGGTGTTAAAAATGGGGGATTGATAGTTATAGTGTGTGTATTTATTAAATATATATTTAAATAAATAAAATCAAATTAAAATTAACAGATAATAAATGTTTTGAATGATGAGACATTAATTTTAATTTTTTTTTTTTTTTTATAATTTTTAAACATAAATATTATGTGGGGGTGTATCAAAAACGCTAAGAGATAAAATAAAAGAATTGAATTAAGGAGTATTAATTTTGATGGGTAAGTGTGGTGGATGAATGAAACAAAAAAAAATAAAAAAATAAAAAAAATAAAATATATATACATATAAGAAAAACAGCTTGACATTTAAAATTATAAACTTCAATTGTTTTATTTGGTTTGGGTGATTACTAAATTAGGATAATATATTTTTCAATTAATCTATTATTAATGATTATTATCATTATCATTATCATTATTTTTTTTTTACCATTGTGGGTTTTGCAAGAATTGTACATTAAAATATATAGCCCATAAAAAAACCACATGGACGCATAGAATTAAAACAATAATATATTAATATTATTTAAACTTATAATTTAAAAATAATAATTTTAATATTTAAATATTAAGTTTAAATAATATTTAAAAAAAAAAAAAAAGGGTATAAATTTAATTTTATTTCTTCCATTTAATTTGTAAAAAAATCAAAATATATAAAATATATCATAAATAAAATGATCACAATAGGTATGGATTTTATATTTACAAAATAAAATTTTTAAAAAAAAATTACTAATTCTAAATTCTTTTTTTTTTTTTTTTTATCCAATATAGATAACGAAAAGAATAGTATCCACTTTACAAACAGTAACAATAATAATATACAATATATGGAAGATGACGAGTTTGGAAATTCTATAGTAAGATTGGTCTTAAATGATTTCTACTATTTTATATTATCCATAATGTAAATATTAATTTATTTATAAAAAATTAAGAAAACCCAATATAAAATATTAATATTAAATTTTTTTTTTTTTATTAAACAGATTTTTAATGAACGAAAATAAAATAAATAAATTTAAAAACAATGTATCTCAAATTTTCACAGCCATCATGTGTTTATATATCTTTTTTAGAAAATAGTTAAAAAAAAAAAAAAAAAAAAATTAAAAAATTTAAAACTATAAATAATAAAAAGATCCTAAAAAGGGATAAATGTATATATTTCAATTTAATTTTAATTTTTTTTTTTTTTATTTAATTAATTTAAATAATTATTTTTTTTTTTTTATATTTTTTTTTTTTTTTTTTTTTTGAAAAATTTAAATTATTTTTGAATTTTAAAATTTTATTTCTCATTTTTCGTTCTATCAAAAATTATTATATTCATTTATTTATTTATTTATTATTTATTATTTATTTATTATTTATTTTTATAAAATTACAGTTATTCAAGTTCCCACAAATATACATTACAAAAGGTGTGGAAATTTACAGCAAAAATACGAAATAAATAAATACTTTGGTTTTTTTTGATTTTATTTTTTTTGATTCTATATATAAATTAACAAAAAAAAAAAAAGAAGAAAAAAGAAAGAAAAGAAAAAGTAATGTCAGAATTAGAGGTTGATGTTTTATCATTATCTTTAACATTTGATTTTGAGCCATATGTTTCAGATAAAACTGATGAAACTGATGATAAAGGTATGTATTAGTTAATGGTTTATAATAATCAATTATATAATTGGATATAAAATGTTAATATTAAATTTTTATACTAATATATTAACTATTTCAAGATGGAAACGATATATGTAGATTTTTTTTAAAAGGTGCATGTTCAAAAGGATCAGATTGTCAATTTAAACATATTAAAGCAGAAAGAGCAGTTGTATGCAAACATTGGTTAAGAGGGTTATGCAAGAAGGGGGAATTATGCGAGTTTTTACATGAATATGATTTACAAAAAATGCCAGAATGTTATTTTTATTCAAAATATGGAGAATGTAATAATAATGAATGTATGTACCTGCATGTAAACCCAGAGGAAAAGGTTAGAGAATGTCCGTGGTACAGTCGTGGTTATTGTAAACATGGTATTAAATGTAGACATAAACATATAAAGAAATTATTATGCGAAAATTATTATTTAGGTTTTTGTTTCGATGGTCCAAAATGTAAATTTGGACATCCTAAATACGATTTACCAAAAGAAGAACCTGAAGTCAAACAAGAGGATACATCTAAAATCAGTTTACAAGAGCAAATGGAAATGGAACAATTACAATTACAGCATCAACCCCACCAAGGTTCAATACAGCATCAACCATATATTCAAAATAAACAACAAGGTAATCAACAGCATCCAGGTGGAAAACCAGTGGTTTGTCATAAATGTGGCACACCTGGTCATAAATCAAATGCATGTCCTAACCAAGGAGAATTTCAACAAGGTGGTCAACCATTTAATAAGCCAAATTTAGAAAACGTTACCTGTAAAAAATGTAACCAAACTGGTCATTATGCAAACAAATGTCCAAATAAAAGGGCACCAAATCCAAACTTTCAAAATTATAATCAACAAAATAATAATAATATGTATTTCAATCAACAACAACAACAACAACAACCTAATCAATATTATCATCAACAACAAAATAATCAGTATTACCAACAAGGTAATCAAACTTACTCATAATTTGTAAATAATAATAAATATATAAAAAGAGTTTTTTTTTTTTTTTTTTTTTTAAATATTATATTTTTTTATTTTTTTATTTTTTTTTTGAGTTTCTTTATTACTCGATGGTTTTGTTTTGTGTTTTTAAAGGATTTAGTTTGATTTTTTAATGTTTTCAGAGTCTTTATATTGATCTTGCTGGGTATTTAAACGATGATGATTATTGTTGTTATTATTATTTACAGGAAGATTTACAGATGCAGTTGATACAACAGTGACTACTGTTGGACTAGCTCCATTTTTACTATTGTCGATTTGTGGGGAAGTTTCTGGTTTGGGTGGAGCTAGGGTTTGTTGTAGTGGTTGGGTTTGAGGTTGTGGTTGGGTTTGAAGTGGTGATGAGTTGTTGTTACTATTGGTATTAAGGGTATTATTATCAATATTATCTTCTGGATCATTTTCTATATCAATACTTGAATCAGATAAACTATCGAAGTTAATTGATTCTTTATTACCTGCTGTTCTATTTGAGTTTTGATCCCATGTTTGCAATTGTGGTGCTAAAATAACCAACATAACAGAAATCCATGCAATTTCAATTGCACGGCCAATAAAGTTAAATGCAATAGCATGAGGAATGGTTAAAACTCCATTTACAACAAAACTCCAAATAGTTAAACCAAATGTAAAGAATGTTACAAAAATAGCAGTAATTGAAAGTTTGAAAATTTTTTTAATTCTTTGATGATTGGCTGCGCTAAATACACCACAATCTTTACTTGATAGATCTTTGTATTCATCCCAAATCATTTTTGTAAAAATTACTGCTGATACCCTACATAATAAATAAATTAATAATTAATATTTATTTAAAAAATAAAAAAAAGTAAAAAAATACCAATCCCTTACCCCCCATAAACTAAAAATACCAATAATATTATGTTTGATGAAGAATATTGCCAACCTGCAAAACAAGCAACAATTAATAGTATCATTAATATCACTTGTGAACCAAGAAAGATTTTACCTAAAAATGGAAAAATCTTTGTAACCAATTTTGAGAAATTTATATGATAAATAATTTTAACCCAAACATATAGTGTGTTGAAGAAAGAACAAATTAAAATCCCCAAAGGTAATAGGAATAATAGACCCATTATAATAAAGTCGTCTTCCTCTAATAATGTAAGAATCGATCGAATTATTCTTGCTTTAGAAAGGAAAGAAGAAACATAAGTATTAAATATTTATTTGAGGAATATAATATAGGATAATAATTACCTAAACATGTAATAGTTAAGAGAGTTAGGGATAGAATGGACCATCTGCTATCCTTTCTTCCTTTCATTTGTTTAAAACGATAAATACAAATACATAATGGTATTAAAAAACCAACAATAATTAAAACTGATATTGTTTTACAACCTGCAGGATTACATTCTGAACCTTTTTGTTGAAAACTTGGTTCGCAATAACATTTTTTTGGTTCCACAATTCTATGAATTGTGTTATTACTCATTTTTTATTTAATTTTTTTTTTATCGATAATTTTATTATTATTTTGATTATTGTTAATATTGTTATTTTTATTTTTCTATTTTTATCAACATAATTTATATTGTTTTTTTTTTAATATTAATTTTTAAACAATGGTAACAAAAAATAAATAATTTTAATTTTAAAATTTTAAAATAATTTTTTTAAAAACTATAAAAAATAAAGTAAAATGAGAGATGTGTAAAGTTATTTTTGAATGGTTTTATATAATATTACAACAAAGAATAATAATAACTACAAAATACTAAAAAAAAAAAAAAAAAAAAAAATTATTTTGATTAAAAAAGTATATAAATAATTAAATAAATAAATAAATAAAATAAATAAATAAAATAAATGATTAAATAAACAGTTTATTATTTAATTTAATTGTTTTTGGATATTTAGTTTTATAATTATTAATCTAAACACAATATTATAATATGTTGTGTGATAATATCCAAAAAAAATAAATAAAAAAATAAAAAAATAAACTATATTTTAATTAGAATATTTTTAAGGAGTGTAATATTGATTTGTTATAATAATTAAAAAAAAGAGAGAAACACAAACAATAAAACTTTATAAAATATTTAAATAATATATAAATTTTATATGTATATGTTTAATTTTATTTTAAAAAATATAAAATTTTATATAATTATAATTAATTGTGTTTGTGTATATGTGTGAGCAAGGGTGGGTTTGTGTGTGAAAAGTATTTGTTGATGGGTAAATGTATAAAATCTACAAATTGAAAAAAAAAAAAAAATTTTATAATATATATATAACTTTTTTTTTGAAGTTTATAGATAAAAAATATTTGATTGTTAAAAATACCCAATAACGAAGCAGATTAAAAATATATTCAAATATATATATATATATGTTTATATTTATATAAATAAAAAGTAGAAATAAAAAAAATAAAAAAAAAAACAACAACAACAAATTATTTTAAAAATGTTATTATTTATATTTATGTATATTATTATTTATTTAATTATAATTATTTATTCAATTATGTTTATATTTAAAAGTTAATTTTATTTTTAATTAATTATAATCTTTTATTCTTTTTTTTTTTTTTTTTTTGATTTAAAATTTTATTTTTTTATCTAAAAATGTATATAAAAAAAAGGTGTGGTATGTGTTGAAGTGTGTGGTGTTTGAAAAAAAAAAAAAAATTATTTCTAAAATTATATTATTTATTTTAAGGTTTACTGTAAACTGCACTTCTTTTGATTTTAGTTTTTTAATATGTATTTAAATAACTATCACACATTCACACATATGAACAAATTACAAGTTTTTTGTAATAGTTTAAAAATATTTCTTTTTATAAAATATTATTCCCAAATGATAAAACTAATTTTATTTACCTAAAAAATGAATATATGATTGAGTTTTTTTTATTATTAACAACTTTTAATATTATATTTAGATTTTAATATACGATACCATAATTTTGTTGCGATTATTTTGAAAAAGGGGTTATTCATAATAGATTTATAAAATATACAAAAATAATATACTATTTGATAAATATATTTAAAAAATAATAATATTTTTGTTGTGTTTTAACCAAATATGTGTGAATTTTAAAAAAAAAAAAAATAGTGTGGGAATGGGGGAAAAAGAGGAAGGTGTGAGTATAGTGGTACCCTAATAACACACTTTCAACACCTTGAGTTACATTCTTTTCTTGGGTAGTGTGGTGTGGTTGTCATTTAAACTATTTTTAATTTTAGTGTTAAAAATTTAAACAAATGAATAAACAGATTTTATATAAATATGTTTAATAAATTTCGAAACAATGGTTAATGTCATATTAATTTTAAAATTTTTTTTTTTATTTTTTTTTATTTTTTTTTTTATTTTTTCTAAACACCCTCTTTTTAGACAAAAGCACTGCTACTTTACAAAATTAATTATTCGTTAAAGAAAAAACATATTATTATAATAAAAGTTAGATTTTAAATTTTATATCACCTACTTTTAATAAAACATAAAATAAATAAAATTAATGTGTTTTGAAATTTTTTATTAGTTTTTGGGTTTGTTCAAAAATTAAATTTACCATTTATGATTAAAATAATAAAATTTTCATTATTTTTTTTTCTTCTTTATTGTTTATGCTATAAATATAAAATTTTGATAGATTATAAAAAATAAATTATTATTTAAATTTGATGATCATTTTGGGTAGTAAATTTCTTTTGATTTTGGGATAGTAATAATTACCAAACCAAAAATTCAATTATTATATCATCAAAATAATGATTATAAAAAATTAAAAAAATAATTTTTATTTTTTTAATTTTATTTTTTTTTTTGCCTTTTTTTTAATTTTAAAAATTGATTTTTTTTTTTTTTATAATTTTTTTCATATGATTGATTAATCATTAAAGTTAATTTTTCGTTTTTTTTTTTTTGTCAAATTACAAACAGTACTTATAAATAAAATAATGAATAAAGTTTTATTAACAAATAGAACTTTTTCATTGTTAAAAAATAATTTTAAAAATGTTCCAAAATTAAACATTTTTAATATAAAAAATATTCAAAATAAAAATTTTACCACCACTACCACACAAACCAATAATCTTAATAACAATATTAAAAATAGCCATGGCAATAATAATAACAATAATGATTTAAATAATAAAGTTTTAAATATAACTAAAAGATCAAATACATGCGGAGATTTAAATAAGAATGATATTGGCAAAGAAGTTTTAATTTATGGTTGGATTAATTCATTTAGAAAGTTTGGTGATCAAGTTTTTATGGTAATTAGAGATGGTCATGGCAAGGTTCAAGTTATTATTAATTTAAATGAGAGTAATAGCAACAGTAAAAATATTATTAAAACTATATTAAAATCAAGTGTTCCAAATATCGATATCGATTCAAATAAAAGTATTGAAGAAAATATCAAACTATTTAAATTGGAATCAATCGTTTCAATTAGAGGCAAGGTTATTGGTAGACCAGACGATATGATTAATCAAAAGATGAAAACGGGAGAAATTGAAATTGAGGCTAGCGAAATTCAATTATTAAACAACTGTGCAGATTTACCATTCACAGTTGAGCATGATGGTGTTTTAGCATCGGAAGAACTTCGTTTAACATACCGTTATGTAGATTTACGTAGAGATCAAGTTCAAAGCAATATTAGATTACGTTCACGTTTATCGATGGCTGCTAGAAACTATTTAGTTGGTCAAGATTTTATCGAGGTTGAAACACCAACTTTATTCCGTCCAACACCTGAGGGTGCAAGAGAGTATTTGGTGCCAACTCGTAATCATGGTCAATTCTATAGTTTACCACAAAGTCCACAACAATACAAACAACTTTTAATGGTCGGTGGTGTCGATAGATATTTCCAATTGGCACGTTGTTATAGAGATGAAGATCTTCGTTCCGATAGACAACCAGAATTCACTCAAATCGATATGGAGTTATCTTTTGTAAACTGTGAAATGATCTATACCATCATCGAAGGTCTATTGAAGAAGCTTTGGAAAGAGGCAGGTTTCAACATTGACTACAAATTCCCATTCTATACATACGAACAAGTTTTATCACGTTATGGTATCGACAAACCAGATACCCGTTATGGTATGGAGTTAAATGAAATAACCGACATCTTTAGCACCAATGAAAGCAATGTTGGTATTTTTAAACAAGCTCTTGCAGAACCATCAAATAGCTTTAAAGAATCAAAACCAATGATCAAATGTATTAAATTATCAAAAGTATTACCAACCCTATCAAAAAGCGAATTAGAACAATTGGTTAACGATTCAAAGTTTTTAGTTAAAGAAGCCCCACACGGTGTCGTTTCAGTAGCAATCAATAAAAAAGATGGTGAATGGAAGTCTAGAATTTCTAAATTCCTTTCAGAGAAAGAAAAACAACAATTAGTAGAAAGAATGGATATAGAAGATGGTGATGTACTTTTAATTGCCGCTGGTCCAAGATGTAATGTCGAATCTTTACTTGGTAAAGTACGTATTCAAAGTGCACAACTCTTAAAGAAAAAGAAACTATTAGAAATCGACGATAAACAATTCAATTTCTTATGGGTAGTAGATTTCCCATTATTCACACCAGAAAGTTATTTAAATGAAAACTCACCACTTTTATCCACTCATCATCCATTCACTGCACCACATCCAGAAGATATCGATATTCTTTTAAATGAAAATAGTAAACCATCAGATTACTCGAAAATCAGAGGTCTTCATTACGATATTGTATTAAATGGTGTTGAAATGGGTGGTGGCTCCATTCGTATTCACAATCAAGATGTTCAATTAAAGGTTTTAGAAAAAGTATTAAGATTACCACCACATTTATCAAATCGTTTCAGTCATTTAATCAATGCATTAGCTATGGGCTGTCCACCACATGGTGGTATTGCATTAGGTTTTGACCGTCTTTGTGCACTTTTAACAAACTCAAATTCGATCCG